CTGCCCCCAGCTACACTTGCCCTCATCTGTGGACCCTCCACTCTCCTTAGGGCCCACAGGAGCCGGTTTGGCCGCGTCCGGGCAAGAAGCTGGGTGACATCACCAGGCCCATTTATGGTCCAGGTTTCTTGGAAATCACACCTGGTTATACATTAACCACCTGGCCCTGGAGGGGGTGGGGAGCCTCAAAGGAGTCCCTGGCCTTTCATCCACAGAACATGACCCTGCTCAGCAGGGCAGGCACAGAGCTGGGCAGGTGGAGGTGAGCCAGGTAGGAGGGCAGGGCCAGGATCCAAGCAGGGGACGCGAGGCCATCCTCAGAGTCTGTGCTCAGAGTGCAGCCAGGGTGGGCATTGCTTCCTCCTGGTGCCCTGTCCCTGAGCTCTGCAAAACCCAAAGGGGAAGTTAGTTAGGATCAGAAAAGGAGCGGGGGCTGCCTTGTGGTCACAGAGCATGCTGGCGCAGGAGACTGAGCTGGTCAGGGAAGAGGAGACCTTGGGTCACCTGATCCCTGCCTGAGATGAGAGCAGAGCAGCCTCCCCCTGTGGGCATCCTCAGGGTCTCCCTTTCCTCCAGGGCCTACTTCCTGCCAGTTCCCAGCTTTCTTCAAATCTGCCACTTGTTCTCTGAAGCCAAGTTTACTGGCTTTAAATCCCAATCCCACTTTGGCCACGTTGGCTGTGTGATCTTACACAAGTTACTTGACCTCCCTGAGGCTCAGTTTCCCCATCTGTAAAGTGGTGGTCCTTCTCTCACAGGATTGTGGGGAAGACTCAGTGTGATGACACTTAGCTGGGCTCATACAGTAGCAGTTCTTTTTAGGGGGGGCCCCAATATATAATGTATAAACTCTGCCCTGGGCCAAGTACCCACCTGACCTGGCTAATCAGTTGGTGCTTGAGGACTTAGGCTGGTGGGGCAGGCTCAGATGGACAGCCCTGGGAAGGCTGCTTGGAGGAGGGGGCAATGGAGGAGCTGGCCAGCCAGTCAGAGAGGCGAGTGGGAAGTTGGGAGTCCTAATTTAGGCTCTTAGTAGGCACTCAGCCACTGAGCAGCTGCAAGCCTGGGGAAAAGGAGCCCCCATGAGAAGTGGAAAGTTGAGATCTCCCAGGAGAGCAATTAGGGGGTGATTCAGCCTGGTGCAAAGTCACCTGGAACAAAGGTTGGTGAGCCGTGGATGGAGCTGGGTTGTCTCAGTGTCGACAGCAAGAGGCAAGGGGACAGTGATACAGCCACACAGGCAGCTGGTGGCCAGAGCACTGGCCCCACAGGGACAAGAACCCACAGAGAACGGGAGGCCACCAAAGGCCCCTCCCCTTCTTCCTCTGGGGCCCCAAGACCCAGGCCCAGTCAGCGCAGGGGCACAGAGTGGCTGAAGCCAGGCACCTGGGTCTCCATCATGGGCTCTGTGGTCCACAGACGCCCTCACCAGTCCTGGCCCCAGAGGAGGGAGAGTTCAGAGTGCCTCACAGGTTGTCAGGGCTCTGGGAAGGGACTGGCTCTGAAGGGCCTGGCTACTCCCATTTGCCCAGGATGGAGCAGCCTGGGCCTGGGAAGTGTGGCCTAGAGCCATTGCTAACTGGCTCTGGGTTAGGTCTCAGGCCTCAGGGTGGCTGGGTGGGCTGGGGTCTCTGCCCCTCTCCAGTCCCCCAGGCTAACAGGATAAGCCCTGGCCCACAGGGACCTGTGTGCTGGAGGAAAATAGTCCATGTCCCCTGTCCCCCTCCCCCGCACACACTCTCCAGAAGAACCGGTTCTGAATCAGCTCTGCTGAGACAGAGCAGAGCTGCTGCTTCCCTTTTCTGCCTCCGTCCTCCAGCTGCCCCTCCCCCCGTCCCCTGCTCAGGCCACTGGCCCTGTCCTCACTGACCGACCCCAAAGGGAGCACAGTTCACCCAATGCTCATTGCACCTTGGGTTCCAGGAGGGGACACAGGACCCCCTCCCTCCTTGAAGCAGCTCCTGCACTCCGGAGACTGTGCCCCTGAAGAGGAGGCAGGCCAAGAAGAGGCAAGGCCTGGGCTAAGGCCACTTCTGCAGACCCTTCCAGGCCACCATCTCCTGCTCCTCTGGTTGACCCTAGCCAAAGCCTTCTGGGTCGACCCTCTCATCGGCGATTCCATTTTCTGGAATTTATCCTGGGGCCCGTCAGAGGTGTTCCCAGAGCGGTTTGCAGTGACAAAATGTCCATGGCAAAGCGTCCTCGTAGGGGACTGCGCAGCTCGCCTGGGCGGCCCTCCCGGGGACTCCGGGGCTGTCAAAAGCCTGCGGACGGGGCCCTGCCCTGTTCCCAGCCTTTATCAACAGCGCCCGTAGGAAGAGTCTGGAAGGACTGCAGCAGCTCGGCGGCGGGACAGTGGGACTTTCAGTTTGTTTTTTGCACAAGTAGATATAAAGCAGAGAGTCCGAGCACGAAGCGCGCTCCGGTGGCGAGAGGGACGGCCCGTGATTCCCGGGAGCCCGCGCGCGAGGGGCGGTACGCCATGACGTCATCGGCGGGCGCCGCGCACCAGGACGGAGCCGGAAGTGCTGTGGCAGTGGCGCGGGGCCACGTGCAGACCCTCCGGGAGTCGGAGCCCGACGAGCGTCGCCGGTGAGACTCCGCAGGGCCAGGGTGGCAGTGCACGGGTGGGGGTCGCCCTGCACTTCCCTGCAGCCTCCCATGGCCGACCCCAGCCCTGTGCCAGCCTGGCCTGAGCCGCCCCCTGCCTTTACACAGTCCAGGCCAGTGTTTCTGTTTACTGCCCCCTGCACGTCCCCAACCTCTGCTTGGGAGCCCGCACATCTGCATCCCCCTGCCACTTGTCTGCCCAGGAGCCCGCCATAGGGGAAACTGGGGAGAGGGGGGTTCTGCCTGGTCTGGAGGTGAACTCACGGGCCATTTGCAGCTCTCCCCTAGGTAGTCGCTCTCTCATCCTACAGCTGGGGAATGGGAACCAAGCTCCTGGAGAAGGGTGATAAGAGAGAGGGTCAGGCCCTTACGTTGCGGGAATCCTTGGGCCCCTTCTCTGCCAGTGTAGGGCCTCAGTTTCTCCATCTGTGATTTGGGCTGATGGCTTTTTTCTTAAGACCACACCAAGAAGGGCTTCAGATGTCAGGCCAGGGTGCAGCCCTATTGGGCTGTCCTAATGGACAGTGCCAGGGACTGAGCCAGCTACTCCACCCCCATTGCTCAGGATCTGGGCCTCACAGCCTTCTCTCTGGACCCCAGGTGCATATCCTGCCTCCTGGCCCCCTTACATATTCATGCCGACACACCTCCCAGGTCCCTGGCACCTGCCAGACAGCGACACCATGAGCTTCGTGGCGTATGAAGAGCTGATCAAAGAGGGTGACACAGCCATCCTGTCACTGGGCCATGGTGCGATGGTGGCAGTGCGCGTGCAGCGTGGGGCCCAGACCCAGACCCGGCACGGCGTCCTTCGGCATTCAGTAGACCTCATTGGCCGCCCCTTCGGCTCCAAGGTGACCTGCGGCCGAGGTGGCTGGGTGTATGTGCTGCACCCTACACCTGAGCTCTGGACGCTGAACCTGCCGCACCGCACCCAGATCCTCTACTCCACCGACATCGCCCTGCTCACCATGATGCTGGAGCTCCGGCCAGGCTCTGTGGTCTGTGAATCGGGTGAGCCCTTCAGGTTGCCTCAGTTCATGAAGGTGGAGGTCAGACCCACTGCCCAGCCAGCCCCCAGCCTGCCCTTCCTGAACACAGGCATTATTACTCAGCTTCTGTTTTAACAGGGTCTTCCTGGGGGTGCTGACCGCAGGGAGTGAGGGCAGAAGCAAGCAAGCCGGTTAGGAGACTGGTGCTGTACTCTGTGAGAGTTGATGGGACTGGACCAAGGCTAGCCCGCTGGAGGAGCTGGTGCCCAGGGGGGATCCTACTTGTCTAGGTGGGGTGGGGGGTGTGAGCGCTGCTTGGCGCCGACCGAGGGCAGAGGGTGCCTGGCCTGGCAGTCCCTCACTGCTGCGAATGGGAGCCCCAGGCCCAGGGCTGAGAGTGCCCCTTCCTGGAAGGAGGCCAGGGCTGCTTCAGGGTGCTCGCTGTGGGTGAGGAGCCGGCCCCGTGCTCATCCCAGGCCAGCACCATTGTCACTGAGCCCAGAGCCTGGAGTGCAGATGGAAGTGCCTGAAGGCAGCTGTTCCCAGCCTCTGCACATGTGTGCGCCCGCGTACACACGCACACACGCAGGTGCTGGGGATTGAAGCATGCAACCTAGCCAAGAACAGCCCAGGCCCAGGTGTGCCTAGATTTCCAGCATGTTTTTCGTGGGCCGGGCATCTGGGTTCCAAAGTCACGAAGAGTTCCCAGTAGCGCTGCTGCCAACATTTGGAGGCTTCAAGCCATCTGCATCCCTCTCTTTGTCCACATGGAGGGCCTCAGTTTCTCCATGTGGACAATTGGATGGTTCTTTTTGCCCAGCCAAGCACTTTGAATTGGGGAGAGTCAGATGCAGAACCTGGGCAGTGAGTGGGTCAGAGAGTGGGTGGGGCCTGGGCAGAGGCTGACTGCTAAGCACCAGGGCAGCTGCGGGGGTGGACAGGATTCAGGGCCAGCTCATCCCTTGCTTCCCCCTGTGCATCCACAGCCAGGGCCTCGCTCCACTCAGTTGAAAAGTGCTGTCGGTGAGCATGCTTCTGGGCTCCTCTGATGTGCCAGCTTCCCTTCTAGGAGCTGTGGCTACAGCCGTGACAAGACAGACCAAGTTTCTGCTTCTCAAAGGGGACAGACAGGAAGCTCACTGTGACCGTTACGGTGTTGTTGATTGCTGGGGGGCTTGGGAGACAGGGCTGCGTGTTTGAGGGTGACTCAGAGAGGGGTCCCTCCAGCTAGGGGTGTCAGGGAAGACCTCTCTGAGGAGGGAGCAGTGAGTTGAATGTGGTTGAATATGATGGGAAGGCGGTACCAAGAGCCAAAGGGGAGGGTCACCCCAGGGAGAGCCTTGCAGAGACCCTGCGCAAGGGGCTACCGAGGAGACCAACGTGGCAGGAGCAGGGATGAGGTCAGGGAGGAAGTGGGTGCTGCTCGGGAGTCACGAGGAGTCCGACTCCGCCGTGCGTGGAAAGGGCAGAGGCCTGGTCTGACCGCGGGGAGAGAGAATCCGCGGCTGTGTTGAGGTGGACTGAAGGCGGGGGTCAGGGGCTGTTACGGGGAGTCTGGAGGGGGGCCCGGGCGGGCACGGCAGGCAGGTGGGGAGAAGGGCTCCCGGAGAGATGGGGGAAGAGGTGCAGGAGTTACCTGTGGGGGAGGGGAGGGCTCCTCCGAGGCGTCTGGCTGGGCAGTCATGTCACCAGCTGGTTCGGGAGGCTTGGCAGGGAGTGGATTTGGGCTGGATCGGCTCCAGCTCTGCACCTGTAAATGCTGGGCGCTGTTTGCGGGCGCGGGGGAGGTGATCGGTGTGCAGTGGGCGCCGGGGCGTCTTCGTGAGGCCTGGCGCCTGGAGCAGCGAGGTGGGGGAAGGTCACGGGGGGTGACCGGAGGACGCAGGCCCGGCCGGGCACTGCAGGACAGGAAGGCTGGCAGAGGGGCAGCCCTGAAGGAAGCTGAGGAGTGGCCCATGAGGCTGGGGGAAAACTGAGAGACGATGACGTGGGGGGCACATTGGTCACCGTGTCTCTGGTCGCACAAGGTGAGGGCAGAGCTGCACCCCGTGTGGTGGGAGCGGATGGGGGGGGAGCAGGAAGATGGACTGACCTGAGTCCCTCGGGGAGCTTGGGCCCAGCCACGACGTGGGACGGTTCCAGTCCCCTTGATCTGCTCTGCACAGAGCCTGCAGGGCCGCGGGCCAGTCCCGGCCCCTCTCGGGACCCGTCTTCGGGGCTCCAGGTCTGTGCAGCAGAGTCTCTCCAGAGCCGGGGGTGGGCAGGGCTGCCCTCTGGACCCACGGCGGACATCGATGATCAGTCAGCTCCCTCCTCCCCGCTGCCGCGCGTGCAGCCTCCATGTCCCAGGACCCCTCAGGGAGCTCCAGGCTGGTGCCCACTGGTAACCCGGGGTCGGCTGACCTCGTGGGCCCTTGGTGGGTCCCTCAGGGTGAGGGTGGGCTCGTTTCCCGTCTGACACCCGTCCCGTCCCGCTAGGCACCGGCAGCGGCTCCGTGTCGCACGCCATCATCCGCACCATTGCACCCACGGGCCACCTGCACACGGTGGAGTTCCACCAACAGCGGGCAGAGAAGGCTCGGGAGGAGTTCCAGGAGCACGGCGTGGGCCGATGGGTGACCGTGCGCACCCAGGACGTGTGCCGCAGCGGCTTCGGCGTGAGCCGCGAGGCGGACGCTGTCTTCCTGGACATCCCCTCGCCTTGGGAGGCCGTGGGCCATGCCTGGGACGCCCTGAAGGTTGAAGGTGAGTTGGCTGGGGGGGTCTGGGAGGGGTGTGGCCAGGCCGGGGCCACTTTCAGCCTGAGCGGGGGTGGGTCAGGGCAGCGGGGGAGTCATGGGGAGGTCGCCCACGGAGAGGGTGAGGGTGAGGGTGAGAGGATCAGGGCTGGGGAGAGTGGGGCTCCACCTGGACTCCTGCCCCTTGGCCTGGCCCTGCTCCCACCCCAAGGTGGGAGGTGTCTCGGGTCCCTGGGGAATGTGGCATGCCTGCCTGAGTGAGAGGCGGGACCTGCACCCCTGGGCTTGCCAGAGGTCAGAGGGCAGCCCCTCACCCCAGCCAGTGCCTGCAGAGTCTCCCTTCCCCACCCGGCGCCACAGCCAGGCTAATGCGCCCCTTTTAGGGAAGATGCTGGGTGCAGAGGCTGGAAGGTCGGCTCCGAGCCAGGAAAGTGCTGGCGAGGCCCTGGGTTTTTCCCTTTTCTGGAGAAGTTGTTGGCTCAGGCAGCTGGGCCGTCCTCGTCCTCCTGCCCGCTGAGCGGTGCAGCACGAGGGGGCGGGAGAGGCAGGCCAGGGCGCCCCAGGGAAGGCCTGCCCCTTGGAAAGACAGACGCCAAGGCCCAGCTCTGACAGCAAGGCGGCCATAGGGTCCCAGTGGGGCCCCTGCCTGCTGGCTCAAGCTCAGCCCTGGACTCCTGTGTCCTGGTCTCTGCTGAGGTGGCCTGGGGCTGGGGAGAGGGGCAGCGCCGGCTTCCCCACACCTCTGCCCCCTCCGGCTTTGCCCCCTGGACACCTGCAGGTCCTCGCTGCTCCAGGGACACCAGCGGGCCCAGTCCTCGGTCCCCAAGGCCGCAGCCAGTCGCACAGCCGTGGCTGAGCCCAGGCAGTCCCTGCCCTGGGCTCCCTCCTGCCAAGGGAGCCATGCTGTGTGTTGTCCCGTCCCCTCTGCCCCGCTAAGCCCCGTTCTCTGGATCTGCTTGTTCTGGCCCAGAGGCTCCCGACTTCCTCGTGGGTCTGGCGTTTCTCCAGCTTGGCCCGGCGAGGTGCGGCCCCGGGCTCTCTCGGCCTCTGGCTGACCAGCAGGCTCAGGCCCCGTCTCCTGGGGCCTGTTTCCTCGGCTTTGTACACAGGGGTTGGGTCCCCTCTTGGGGGTGACCCTGTGCCCTCTGGGTTCACATCAACCTCACGCTCTGCCTCCAAGCCCAGGCCTCCCAGCTGACCACCTGGGGGTCTGTGTCCCACGTATGGCTGAGGTGACCAGGCCTCAGGGACCTCTAGGGGCTGGCCTGGGCCATGTCCCTTTCCCTAGCCAGCCTGCCGGATGTGTGGGCGAGCCCTGGTGGGAGGCGACAGGAAGGGGCTGCGGCTCCCGCCCCCTCTCCCTCACCCTTGGTCTGTGGGGCTCCGCTCAGAGTGGGCGCCTCATGTTCCCAGGAGCGGGCGACAGCCTCTAATTTCCTGTGACAGCCGCAGCCCCCGCCCCCGGGGCTGCTCTGTGTGGTTGAAGCTGCTCAGGCCCAGCACTCTGGCAGCTGCCGCGCCAAGGCTCCGCGCTGGCCCCGACGCCTCAGCTGCCTGGTGGGAATCAGGGGTGGCAGTGCCCTCTGGAAGCCCAGGCAGATCAGGGTGGTGGGCTGGGCCCGTGGCGGCCTGTGAGAGGGCTTTGTTCAGGCGGGCCCTGCCCTGTGGCTGCAGAAGAGCTTTTGCCCCTGGGCCCCGGCCCGGTTCCTCTACTCTGGGGCCGCAGCTCTTCGTGGCCAGAGGGCTTGGTGGGGGCTTCATGGCCTTGGACCCCAGGGCAGGGGTCAGGGCGTCCACCCTCCTCAGCTCTCACAGTGGGGTCTCGTAGCACCCACTCCCTTCGGGAGTGGGGGTTCATTGCCTCTGCCCTGCAGTCCCAGGCCGCAGACGCCCGGGCCAGAGGAGGCTGCCAGGCGGGCGGGGCTCTGGGGGCGGCCCCTGCCCTCTGACCCCATGTCCTCCTCCCGCGCAGGCGGGCGCTTCTGCTCCTTCTCCCCGTGCATCGAGCAGGTGCAGCGCACATGCCAGGCACTGGCGGCCTGTGGCTTCTCGGAGCTCAGCACCCTGGAGGTGTTGCCCCAGGTCTACAACGTGCGCACCATCAGCCTGCCCACGCCCGACCTGGGGGCCAGTCCGGGCCCCGACGCCGGCCCCTTCCGCAGCGGCATGCCCATGAAGGAGACCGTGGGCCACACCGGCTACCTGACCTTCGCCACCAAGACCCCGGGCTAGTGAGCCGCCCGCAGGAGCTCCAGGGAGCTGGGAGCACCGCGGGGCCGTACGGGGAGGCGAAGCTCGGCCAGAGGCTGCCTTATATGGTCGGCGGGTGCCCGCCGGGGCCTGTGTTTAGAAACCCAAGGACGCGGGGTGGGGCGGGGCTGGGGGCCTCCCGCGCGGCTGAGTGGGGCTGCAGCGGTGGAGCAGCGTCCAGCCCCGGGGAGGGCGGCCGCCCGCCCACGTCACTGTCTCCACTGCCGTGGGCTCTTCTGCATGTTGAGGCCCGAGAGTGCAGGTGGCGGGGCGCAGGTCTGCCCCTTCCCAGGTGGCCCCAAACGAGGAGGGAGGAAACGGGGGTTGAAAAGACCCGGAGGAGGAAGGCCAGGGACCCTCACAGTCCAGCTGCCCGGCGTCTGAGGCAACCCCGCTGTGTGGCCTCAGGTCTGACCCCACCCCTCTGGGCAGTGCACAGGCCGCGTGGGCATGTCCCCAGATTCCCGCTGGCGAAGGGCTGGGGCAGCCCTGCTGCTTCGCTTCTGCCTCCGGGAAGTGCCTCTGCGGCCCTGGCCCAGCCAGAGCCCTCCCGTGTCGATGCTTGCGAACACGCAGCGTCATGTAGGGAAGAGCTGGGCAGGGCGGGAACGTGCTTCCGGTGGCTGGCCAGTCGGGTCGGAGCCACTCGGTGCCCCTGCCGCTCACAGGAGCCGCAGGGATGTGGGGATGGGGGTGTGCACCCAGGACGGAGGGGGTGACGCCAACCCTGCCCTGGCCTGCTCTCCAGCTCTGGTGCACGGCTGGCGTCCCTCCCGCCCTGCTGCTCGAAGGGCCTGGGTGCCTGCCCTTGGCCTCAGCCAGCTGTCAGGAGCCTCGGTGACCCCAGGTCGGCATGAGAGCCCCAGGGTACCGGGCTGGCCTGAGGCTGGTCCCCGACCACCCCTGGCAGAGAAATAAAACACTGTTGCCCCTGCTGTGCTGACTGGTCCACCCTGGTGCCCCACGAGGCCAGACCTCCACTCCCCACACCAGCATCCAGGCTGGACCTCCCTGCACGTGGCCCCCCGGCCCCTGCTCCTTCCTCTCCCAGGGCAGACACCACAGGGGCTCTGGGCTCCAGGACAATGGCCTGGGACCTGGTGGACAAAGGGCAAGTGTGTGGCCACCCCCACCCAGCTGCAGAAAGGGCCACTTGTTCCTGGGGAGGGTGGGGGCGGGGGAGGGAGAGTCCCTGGCTCTGTGTGTGTGTGTGTGTGTGTGTGTGTGTGTGTTTGTTTGTTTCCTTCCGTCCACAGGGTGGGGGCGGGGAAGGGAGAGAGTCCCTGGCTGTGTGTGTGTGTGTGTGTGTGTGTGTGTGTTTGTTTGTTTCCTTCCGTCCACAGGGTGGGGGCGGGGAAGGGAGAGAGTCCCTGGCTGTGTGTGTGTGTGTGTGTGTGTGTGTGTGTTTGTTTGTTTCCTTCCGTCCACAGGGTGGGGGCGGGGAAGGGAGAGAGTCCCTGGCTGTGTGTGTGTGTGTGTGTGTGTGTGTGTGTTTGTTTGTTTCCTTCCGTCCACAGGGTGGGGGCGGGGAAGGGAGAGAGTCCCTGGCTGTGTGTGTGTGTGTGTGTGTGTGTGTGTGTTTCCTTCCGTCCACAACCCAGCCTGGGCACCTGGGTTGCCTCTCGTTGCCTGAAGGGCCCAGAACTAAAGAAGGACTTCCTGGGCCTCCTGTCCTGGCCCCAGGCCACCACCCAGGCTTTGGGGGTCCTTGGAGGCATACCAAGTGAGGTGGGCCTACAAGAGGACCAGTCTCCTGGTGGCAGCATCACAGGGCCAGGGGCGCCTTCTGTCTTCTGGTAAGACCTGTGTCCCCTCAGAGACCCTAGGGTCCCTAGAAGCCCTTGCCCTACTCCAGGGGTCATGTCCCCCCTTCAAGGACCTGTCCTGACCTCTGACCAAATGCCTAGTCTGGGGACAGAGGAGGGACCTGGGCTTTCCTTGGCCTTCAGCAAAGGCCTGTGAGGTGTCTGATGTAGGGCATAGGCCTCTTCTGCAGGCCTGGCTCTGCCTGTTCTCCAGGCGGGGCTTCGGCTGGCAGGCTAGACTGTGGCCCTGGGTGAGTCACTGGAGCCTGCACTTGGGTCAGTGTGAGCTGGAAAGGAAAGCCCAGGATGGATGAAGGGCAGAGGGCCACCAGGGTAGGGGTCAGGAGACCTGGATCCCTGTCCACGCTTGCAGTTGCACGCACAGAGCTGCTCTCAGGTATGGGGCCCTCCAGCCCCTTGACTGTCTACCAGGCCCTGCACACAAGCCCCCAGGGCTCCACTGGGCCTCTATCCCATGCCGGGGACCTCAGCCTGGAGCCCCACCTGGCCGCAAGCCAGCAGTGAACTCCTGCGCATCATTCAAAACCCCTCAAGTGTCTCTCAGTGCTTCCCACCCCCCACACACCGAGGCAAGAGTGTCTTGCTCAACCACCACATCCCATGCTCATGATCACCCCTGTAGGGCTGCCCCTAGCCTGGGAGCTCCTTCAGGCAGACAACAGAAGCCAAGGGGCCTCACAAACTCTGCAGATGGGGAGCTTGACGCCCAGAGAGTCGGCCAGGGTCCGTGGTGAGTGACCGATCAGCAGGTCACTTGGTCACCTCCTCGAGGCAGGAGCCTAGGGCTGGTCACAGGACAAGGATTCACCCGGAAAGTCCCCGTCCAGCCCCAGACTCCCACCTCTGGCCTTCAGTTTTTCCTCGGAAATTCCTGCGCCTGCCCAGCCCTGGTCTGAGTGGCTGAGACGTGACACATCAACTCCCTCCGCTGCAGGCCCCGCTCCCAGGTCTGAGCCCTCCCAGGTCTGAGCCCTCCCAGGTCTGAGCCCGGGAAGCAGATGGCCACTAAGACTCACTCACCTGCCCTGAGGGCCCCAGGCCAGGATCCCACCTTCAGGCCAGGATCAGCGCCTGCCTCTGGGGCTGTCTCCAGCCACCTCCCCCTGGAAGCCCCCTGGGCTTTGCCCCCGCAGCCCCAGTGTGAGCTGCTCCTGTCCTCCCTGTGCTTCACCGTCACCTTCCTTGGAGGGGCTTGTGCCCTGCGCCCAACCTGGGGCAGTGTGGGCTGGGGGCAGTTGTTGGATGGGTGTTGGTTGGTTCAAGGGATGCCAGGACCCTGGAAGCTGTACCCTGTCTAGCAGAGGGTGACAAGGAAGGTCATCTTCTGCATGAGGACAAGTCAGGGAATGGGCTTCCCCACACCTGCTCCCCTCAACCCTGAAGTCTGCAGGAAGGCCCCCCTTCCCGTCCCCTTCTCTCTGCCTCCATGGCCTCTTCTCCCAGGGCTGCCAGCTCTCCGGCCTCTAGTCTGCATGCTGGAGGGAGGGTGGGCTGGGTGGGACCCTGGCCCAGGGAGATGATGCAGCTCCTACCCCATCCCAGCCCACTGCACAGGGAGAGAATCTGAGGCCCAGCAGAGATGAGGCAGATCCAGGCCTCCTTCACCCACCCACCCACCCAGGACCTCCCATATCTGACACTTTCCCACCTGTGTGGTTGTCTAGGGAGGCCAAAAGAGACTTGCTGCTGCAGTCATGGAAGGCTCCCTGGAAGAGGCGACAGTCTGCAGGGTGTGGAGGGGCTGGTGGAAATTGGAGGCGGGTGAGCTGGAGGCCTCCCCAGGGGGCAGCAGGAGGCCCCAGGCAGGACAGCTTCCTGCAGGCCCGGGAAGATGAAAGGGAAAGCGTCAGGAGAGGCTGCTTTGGAGCCCCAGGCTGGTAGTTCCTGCCGTGTGCAAGGCTGCTCTGAGTACAGGCCAGTCATGGGACCCAGTGCTCTCCTCTGCCCAGGGGCTCTCGGGCTCATGTGCCGGCCTGGGGGTGTCCCTGCCTCTTAGTGGGGCTCAGGTGAGAGTGTCCCTGGGTTGGCCCTGCTGGAGGTCTGGGCTCCCGATGCTCCGAGGAGGGAGCTTGCAGATGGGGGCCCAATCCTTAGGTCGGTCCTCTTCACCAACCTCGGGCCCTCTCATGCAGCAAATGGGGGTCAAGCATCTGCCAGCACCCCACTGGTGCTGAGGACCCAGACCTTCAGGGCAGCCTGGCCTGCCCTTGAGGGCTCCCGGGAGGCACAGACTGCAGGTGAGATGTGCATGGCTGGAGCAAAGCAGGGAAGGGGGTGGGGTGGGACAGGAAGGCCTCACCAGGACATGGCCTCTGCGGTCACGGGGGAACATGGAGTTTGGACTGGGCCTGGCAGTCAGCCTGTCCTCAACAGGGATAACCAGACCCTGCTCTGCCCTCTGGAGGATGCACTTAAGGGCTCAGGTGCCGGGTCTGCCGGGGTCACATACTCCCTCTGGCGCCACGTTGACGAGTCCCTCCCTCCTTCATGCAGAGGTGAACATAGTGCCTGCCCAGTGCGGGGATGGGGGTGGGGGAAGCTGCCACCGTGAGATTAAGTGTCGCGTCAACGTTTGGACTGTCGGTGTCCACAGAATGTCTCGATTATTAGCGCTAGTGGGAAACACCGCCCTTTCCAGGAAGACCCCTGGCCTTTCAGATTCCAAGGCTGGAATTTGGGGGCCACTTTTGAATCTGAGGAATGTCCTCTGCACTTCGTGACACTTGAATAGCTTTTTGCACCTTCAGGGGCACTTGAGTAGTTCATCAGAAGACTTGACATTGAGACTTTTTGTGAAAATCCAGGTCATCCAGTCACTGTGCTTATAGTTAGTTGTATAATAAAACTAAAAACTGAGAACATTGGGCTGTGCACAGGCAGATGGCACTCAACTGACCTCCACAATTTTTGCGGTAGGTGTACTAGTTAGCTGTCACCACAGACGTGCTGCATAACAAATAATCCCCCCCACCCCCGCAATACTCAGAGTCTTAAAAGCAGCAGCCAGTTCCTCTGTTGGGTCTGTAGCTTGACTGCTCTTGGCTGACCTCTGCCAGGCTCGTCCATGTGTGGGGGCTGAGCTGATGTAAACTCTGCTCTGCTCCACCCTTTCCTCCTGGGACCGTGGCTCTTATCATGTCCTGTGGCTCAGGCGCAGTAGGGGTGAGCCTGGTCATGCAGGCGCTTTTCAAGCCTTTGGTCACATGGCCTAACCTCAGATCCTGGTGGAGAGAGAGACCCTGTGATTTTAGGGGAGGAGCTGCAGGGCTGCTGGCACAGGGCATGGGAGCTGGGGCTTGTAGGTCCTCAGCCAGTGGGGTTGAGACAGCCAGGCTCACCAGCCTTTCTTGCCCTCCTGTGTGTGTGT